CCTGCCGTACCAGCTGATATGTGAATCTCGAAGGAATATAGCAATTGAAGAATCTATATAATGCCGAAGGCTTGCTTATGAATCGTCTATTGCATCCAAGTTTAATTATGAATTGTGCAGTATCTATGATTTACATCACAATTGTGAGCAAACTGAGCAAATCATCTAGAGAAATGATAGAGTTGAGTGTGAAAAGTTTTAAAATATATATAAATTTTATTTTAAATTAACGAATTTACAGTACAAATATTTAAATACTATATATTTTATTTCAAATTTTATTCTTACTTTATACATATATAATACTTATTTAAATGTATTTATATTTTACACATAAGTATGTTTTGTGTGCGTGCGTGCGTGCGCGCGCGCACATTAAACACTAATTCTTTTTTTCTCAACAGCTTTTATTTCTTCTTATACGGAGTGTTCTGTCACGAAATCGATGATCATTTTAAACAAAACAGTTCTTATATACCTTCGTTCCCAAGAAAAGTAGCAATGCTTGTCGGTTTCACGGAACATCCTATATAAAATTCTTCCTCGATATTTTAAAAATTTACTTTAAATAATTATATAGGTATTTAAAGTAAATTTAAGTAATAAATTATATTACATAGCTTTAATTTAAGTAGCTTAAAGTTCTTAGAAAAATTCTTTAATTTGTATTGTATCTGATATTATTGAAGAATTTGTTCAAATTATAATATTTCTTGAACAATAAATTAGTAAAAGATAAACTGTCTAAATGTTACATAATATTCTTTCTTATATAATGGTATTTTAAATTATTTTTTTATGTACTTTCTATTTTATCATACAATATCAGTTATTGAATTTTTTTCTTGAGTGAAAAAGTACTTTATCTATTTTATATTATATAGAAGTATCACAGATATAATTATAGAATTTTATCTAATAAAAACAAATACATATTTCTCCCCCCTCTCAATCTTCGTTTTATTTAATATATCAGAGATATTAGTAATATTAGCTATTTTAAATATAAAACATCCAGGAAAAAATGTTTCATATATAATTATATAAAAAATTGACATATTTTATATACAATTATATATAATAATATTAATACAATAATACAATAACGACTTCAAGAATAAATAATTCAATTTAAAGAAAAAACATAAGGCCAACGCTGGTTTTTGTTGCGAATAAAATTTTAGTGCTATTTATTTACCATAAAATATAATAATAGACGTTTCGACCATTATTAAGTCATCTTGAAAACAATTTTTAGTACATAAAAATATCGTTAAAATTCGATCATATCATTCTCCTACAAGTTTAACAAATAATTGTCATTAGAAATTCGAACGCATTATCTTTCCAACCAAGTTAACAATTAATATAGGTTGAGAATACTATAAATTAAGAATTCGCTCGTTTATTACTCGCCGTTTTGCTTCGCTAGGATTTTGCTTCGTATATTCCACCTGTTTGGGATATACGGCATTTTTAGCGGGTGGGATGCCCAAAGCATACAAAGTGCGCAGATTGAAATCAGTGCACTAAATGCAATAAACGCATTACATGAAATATGTACCTCTTGTCATAACATTTCTAATATATGTAGGAAGATTGTAATTATTATTTATTACTTCATATACATATTTATCATTTTTATTCCTTAATAAAACTTTATAAACGCATTTTATAAGTTATTGTGTCATTTTACGTATTATTTGTAAATTTTTCATGAGCTGTACATACCCCTCCCTCTCCCTATAAGTAGCCATATATCTCACCCCTATAGAATATATGACAAAAATGCAAGGGTTTCAAAAAGTTTATTTTTTAATACGAAAAATAAATATATATATTTCAGATTTCTAATATTTTTTTCATAGTAGTAGACAGTACAAAGTTTTTACTGATATAGTTCGTTTATTTTAAACATAATAAATAATACTTAATAAATTAAGTTTTTGATAGGTGCGGCGTATATGCCGGAGTTACCCTATATAATTATATATAAAATATGTCCACATATACTATATTTTTTCCCGGGCAATTATAAAATTTATAACAGAATACAATTTTTTTTAATTTTATAATCTTTAATTATTATATATTTTAAATTTTATCTTTTGCATGTATTAAATAATTTTATGACATTACAAATAATGGAATATTTTGGATATTTTGAAACAAAATATTTATTGTTATCATAAAATTTTATGCTAGATTATGTCTCGTTTAAATTAAATACATATGTCTTGCAGTTAATTTCCTAATGAAAAGAATATTTTCATATATTTACAAACGCCTACATTTACTCGCTTGCATATTGCAATAGTAGATTAAAAAAGTTCTTTGATTTTCTTAAGAACGCTTTTCTGTTTTTTATTTACAGATTCTGAAGAGTAAATATATGATGGCATCACCAAAGCTTTATTACGAGACGCTCCTTTCGAATAAATCTCTTCGTAAATCTCGTTAACCTTACCAATTACGCTGGCAAACAAACTCAAGACCAAAACGTGGAAAAATAGTCTTCTTGTTGCTCGAATCAAAGATGAACGTCTGTCAAGTGCGTCAACTAGTCGAAACTTCCATCACTTAATATCATCTTCCTACATAACTCTTCGACCAAGAAGAGAAATTAAAGAACGATCAACGCACAGTGGCGAAAACCGTCATTGTGCGAGCATGACCGCAAAAACGACATTCGATCCGACGGAGATCTCCTCGTTCGACGTGACATCGCTATTGGATGTCACTTCGATCGAGGAGAATCCTCATGCCAATAATACTGAGGTGAACGCCATGGAGGTCAATTGGTTAGACAGGCCCTCAACAATCGTGAAGATCTGTATCCTCGGTTCGATCATCACCACGGCGTTATTCGGTAATTTGCTGGTAATGGTGTCCGTGATACGGCACAGAAAGCTACGAATTATTACCAACTATTTTGTGGTCTCATTAGCACTGGCGGATATGCTGGTAGCGATGTTCGCGATGACCTTCAACGCTAGCGTGCAGGTGACCGGCAAATGGCTTTTCGGTTATTTCATGTGTGACGTCTGGAATTCTTTAGATGTCTACTTTAGCACTAGCTCAATACTCCATCTAATGTGCATCTCAGTAGATCGATATTATGCGATTGTGAAGCCACTCAAATATCCCATCAACATGACGAAGAGAGTAGTGGCATTTATGCTACTAGCCTGTTGGGTGTCGCCGGCCATCATTTCCTTCGTGCCAATCTTCTACGGCTGGTACACTACGGAAGAAAACAGTATGCATAGGCACAAGCATCCAGAGCTCTGCGAATTTAAAGTCAACAAAATATATGCTATACTGTCATCAAGCATATCCTTTTGGATACCGTGTACCATCATGGCGGTCACATATTTTGCCATATTCAAAGAGGCTAACAAACAAGAGAAGCAGATGCACAGCAGAATGGGTAATGCCATGTTGCTCAGTCACAGACCGAGTAAAGATCTTAATAATTTAAATGGCGAACTGAATAGCGCTGGATCGTCAAAAACTCTGACTTTAAATGAAATAAACACCGAGCATTTACACACACCGACAAAAGATAAACATATAATGAAGATGAAAAGAGAACACAAAGCAGCAAGAACGTTGAGTATCATTATGGGTACTTTCATCCTTTGCTGGTTACCATTTTTTCTTTGGTATGTGTGTTGTTAACAACTAACTTAATAAAATATTACATGTTAATGTGCTAAATTGCTAAAAATTAATTAATTTTACTATATATTCTTAATCATAATAGATTATTCTCCTTATTCGACAGATTCAGTTAGATCTATCAATATTTGATTTAATGTATAATTGATTATATTGGTAAAATGCTTAACTCACGTAAATAAAATTGTTTAGTGATCTATTATTATGAAATAAAATAAAATTGGAGAAGTTATGATTCTCAATCATATAAAAAGTCAAAAATGTACTAAAACATTTTTTTCTCATGTAAAGTTCTTTTTAAAAAGACCAATTACAAAAATCAGAAACATGTGAATGAAGTTACTTTTGAGACAAAATAACTTTTAACTATATAACAACATAAATTATCTAATATATCAATGTGTATCATTTATCAAAAATATGATAGCCATGTTATCTCAACGTGTATTGTCTATCAAAAATGTGATAATTATATGAGAAAATTCATTTTTTCATATATTAAATAGAACAAATTTAAAGTTTCTACGAAAGCTGATTGTAAAAGAGGAATTAATTTTTTTATTAAAATGGATATTTTAATTTTATTTCATACTGATTCTAGTAAAAGACAAATGAGGATAAATAAGTAAGAAAACGAGAGAGAGAGACAGAGAGAAAGAGAGAAAGCGAAAAGAGAGAATTTATATATTGAATCAAATTCATTATTTTGTAACTAATATTATTGAAAATATAAGTTTAAAGTGGAAAAGAATATTTTTAATTTCAGTTTAAAAATTTAATTTTTTTTTAAACAAAATTATAAAGAATATAGTAACTTTTAATTTGTTTTTTTTTTATGTAAAGTGTATTTTTTCTAATTTTTCTATAAATAACAAATTAAAGAAAATTGAAATATTTAAACTTTATTTTTTTATGGAAATTATTTTAAATTAAAAATACAAAATAACAGAATAATTTTACAGAAACTTAAAATAAGCATTGAACTTGAATAAATTAATTCTCACATTTTCCATTTCTTTCAAAGTTTGAATTAAAATTTAATTTTCTGTTTCTGTATTTTTAATATTTATGCACATAAATAATTATTAACTTAATTGTCAGGTACGTCATTACAGCGCTTTGCGGCGAGACTTGTCCGTGTCCCGACGTCGTGATTGCGATTCTATTTTGGATTGGGTATACGAATTCAGCATTAAATCCATTGATTTATGCATATTTTAATCGCGACTTTCGAGAAGCGTTTAAAAATACCCTGCAGTGCGCTTTCTGTTCGCTCTGTAGACGAGAGCCATTGGATCTCGAAGCACTGGATTTTCGTCGACCATCCCTCAGGTACGAATTGGTCTGACAGATTAAGGTATGCATTTCATTTTATCACTTTTTCTTTTTGAAACTTTATTGAAATTTTATTTATCTTACTACTATATGTTACTTACTCGATAAATTAAAGTTGTCTTTGAAACACATTCAAAATTAATTAAAATGACCCTGATAGAAACTTTTTACCGAAATTTTAATAAATAATTATTGGAGTTAAGATACACACAATTCTTTCCATCGAGCTTAGGAATTGGTTGAGTGCGCTAAGGATGGGTCTCTTTCCTCCTACAATTGTGACCAGAATAAATAACATTTTATGTAACAATGCGACGTTGTAGTTCGCGAAATTTAATTAGTTTTCAAGACGGTCTGTGTTTTACACGTGTAAGGTTTATGCTGAGGATTTGAGCCGAAATGTACGATTTTGCATATACTTATGTTTTTATTAAAGATTTTTTATTAGGTAAAAATAACTTCTTGATTTGCGCACTGACAACTTGATAATCATCTTTGTTTGAATTTTGAGGAGTTTGAACCTTGATATTGTAATTTGTATAAATAATTATATTTATATGTACTATATTGAGAATTGTATATTGAATATCAATTGATCCACTTTCAGTATTATTTTATTAAGATTTTGTTAACAATTCAACAGGATTGGGTAATATGCCTACTTAAAAAATTAGAAGTTGAATTAAAAAGTTAAAAAGTTAAATAATTTGAACTTAATTTGGTTACATTTTAAACTTTTAACTTTTAATTTAATATAGTTACATTTTATTGGTACCTATTAACTTTTAATTGAACTTTCTTGAAGTTAATTAAATACATTTCGACTCGTTTTTGACAACCTTCGAGGAGATATGTCCGATAAAAATTTCGAAGTGCCTTTATTTCTTTTTAATAAGTATATGTAAACAAAATATTCATATAGAGTATGTTTCTAAATAAAGAGTATATTTGTTATTTGTAAGACTGAAATCTTGAAATCATGAAATAAAAAAATATAACTTTTAACTTTTCATTTATTTTTTTTATTAACTTAACTTTCAATTCAATTAATTTTATTATAGGATATCTTGTACCTTAACTAAGTTAAATTTTCAAGGTTGTTAATTTTAACTTAACTTAGTTAAAAAAAAGAGTTAACTTACGTAACCCTGCAATTCAACATAAAACATTAAGATTATAAAGAATTCAGTAAATTTCAAAATAAAAATCAATGAACGCAATAAATTTAATGAGGAGTTACGTACACATTCAAATCCGTAATATATGTATAAAGATGAGCGGTATTTTTGTATCTGCTACTTTGTAACTGTTATTAAGTCGTAATTGTTACCCAGTTATTAATCGATTAATTGAAATGGCAATTATTTATTTATTTTGTATTTCGATATGTTTATTTCTATATATTTACATAACATTTTTATTAAATTTAATAATAATATAAAATTTAATCACATGTGTGCATTTCTATCTATTTTTTAATCATTAAAATAAGGTATCATATATTATTATGTCATCAGTATCATGATATTATATTGCCACATATGTACAACAAAAACATATTTAACTTTGAAAAAAATATTAGACAATTAATTAAAAATGAATGTAGAAATTACTCGTCTAAAAATCTGATTAGAAAAGGTATTACGATAGCATGTTGTATGTTGAAACTGATATTAAAAGTAATCTCTGAATAATGAATATTGATTTTTCTGATATGCAACTGAAATTAATTATGTTTGAATCAATTCGTCACATAAAAGTTATACAAAATGTTATGGAAATTGGAGTGCAACAATATTATTTATTGACATTATTATATTATTGTATTTTGTGTGTCAATATAACCATTGACAATGCTTTATTGCCATTAATAGTAAATAATTATGTTTTGCATTGGAAATAGTGGAACGAACAAAAAATAAAATACGCAGGGCGTTTGGTATAAGTTCGAATTTATGACCAAGGCGTTACATTTGTAGTTCTAAGAAATGATCATTAAACTCATAAGTTAAATCTAATTTAATCCGTGTGGATGTATGGCGTCATGTATCTCTATTTTCATTCCCTGCACCAATTACTCTATTATTCTGTTCAATTACATATACTGCGTATCTCGCACGAGCTGCATCCGCGATAATGTGCGACGATTAAACTGACAACTATACGGGAATCAAGGAATATTAAACGAAAACCTTACCTTTTCATTACACAACGAATATTTTTATACGCGCTGGTTTTGTTTGAAAAATATCACGCGCGCGCGCGTAATATTAAAATATAATAATTTCTTGATTTTTTAACGGAAATTAAAACTAAAACTTAATCTATCTATTCAGATCAACTTGCATAAATCTGATATATTAGCAGTTCAATACACAAGACAAACAAATAAAGAAAAGTTCATTTTTCTGTATATTTTCTTTACATTTAATGTTACAATATATATAAATATAGAAGCTATGTGTTTTATGGGTTATCTCCTCATCCATATTTCTTCCATATTAATTTTGTCTTGGTAAAAAGATTTATGTATAATTTATCGTTTCATTCATATCTACAATATTATTGTATCGAATAAACAATTATTTGACTTTTATTTTTTTAATGCATAATTAATATAAAGATGTAGAATGCGCAAATGTATTTTTCATTTATTGTATACAAGGTGGTCTATGTATTATACAAATTTAAGTTTATACTTAGTTCATCTAGCAAAAAGATTTGTTAAAATATCAAATTATCTTCATAAACTTTCTTGAAATAATTTACAGTTAAGGTGCAATTTCATGCAGCGAAAGAAAGCTGGCTTTTTACTCCCACTCCACCAAAATTAAAGCAGCGTTCGAAAGTGGTTCGCTTTTCTCCTGCTTCCTTTTCATGAAGTGTATCTTCGCTGGCTTTAAGTTAACGAATACACTCATTTATTTTCGCTAGCTTTTAATTCTTTTAATAAAAATGGATTACGAAAATGAGAATACATCGAGTGTATAAAAGAATATATTCGTATAGCAGCTGCAGCAAAGATTCGGAGGCGACGCATACCGCTACAATTGCTAATATACAATTATTAAAAAAGAAAAGTATTGGATAACACCTATTTCCAAAAATTGCAGCGAACATGGCTTTTTCTTTGCTTCGCTCCCAAAATTAATCTTGGAAGCCATACGATTCCATGAACATGACGTGACATGTCATGTATTTCAGCGATGTTCACTATTAGTTGAACAATATCAAACTTTGAGCGTAATTTCGCTGTATACGAAAATTGATGGAGTGGGAGTAAAAAGCCAGCTTTCCTTCGCTGCATGAAATTGCACCTTTATGCAATTAAATTATATAAACAATTCTGTTCACATTGATTTTTCTGAAATAACTCGATTTGCTTAATTTTGTTTTAGATACGACGATCGCACCAAGAGCATATACTCAGAAACATACATAAAGCACATTGATCGACGAAGATCGAGTGAATTTGGCAGCAGTCTTTGAGACGAAACTACGTTCCCAAGATTCTAAAAGCGAGTGCAAAAAATACGCATCTATGTACAACACTCATACATATGTATTATATATATAAATACGCGCGTGCGTCAATTTAAACATAACTATACATACACACAATACAATGCGCACGCGCAAACATAATCATATCGAGATATTATTCAACACTTCGCCAAATAAATGAAAATGAAGAGGATAAAAAGAGAGTCACCGTTTTTTTTTCACGGTGACTATAAATACATGCGAATATACTAAATATATCTTGCAAAGTTGGAAACAAGTATGTATACATATATAGATTATGTCATATTGCCAAAGTTAGATTTTTAAAGCTTTCGTAGTCAAAGTGTGTCGTGTTTCGTAAGATCAATAAAATCGTACCTGTGGAAGAACGTAGGAGATTCCGATGAACGAACTTTGCTTAATACTTCGAAAGAAAAGAAACGTACGGCTTCTGCGAATATCTTAGTAAGATAGCTAAATGAATATAATTTTGAAAAGCGTGAGCCATGAGAGAGTCTGGTTGATCCCGTATAAATCCCTTAATATATAGTATTTTCTTAAAAATCTAAGATTTAATAATATAATTCTTTCCCATTTTTGATGGCCTCTTTTTGATCTAAATCTCACGACTTTAGTGATAAAATTAGTTTTCCTTTTTACATTACAATAATTCTTGCAATAATTTCCTTTTTTTAAGAAACAATCTGATTTGATTATTTTGAATTACTACCGAACGTTTTGTGATTTGATCACGACGATAAAAATAATTCAATGACATAAAAGTACATATGTGTATACGCATATGTGTACACACATGCGTGCGTGCGTGCGTGCGTGCATGCGTGCGTGCGTGCGTGCGTGTGTGTGTGTGTGTGTGTGTGTGTGTGTGTGTGTGTGTGTGTGTGTGTGTGTGTATGCTAAGTGATCGATTCTATGACAATAGAATGATCTAGATATAATGAAAATACTCACTCATAGATATAAAAGTAATCGTATATGTTTATTTAATTTATATAATTCAATTTATTATTTATTAATTTAATTCAAAATGATAATATATTCACAATGATCCTAAATATATTTTACTATTGTTAACCCTTTGTGAACCCTCCCAGGTGGTGTGACATACACCAGCAAGATAAATTTGTATAACTTCTTAAAAAATACAGCGTGTATGTTGCCGGTTTCATGCAGGTGAAGAATGCTTTGTTACCGATCATACTAAATTGTAATGTATTTATGATGAAGTATAGCATGGAGTATGAGATATACCCACATATGATTCATATTGATTTTCCACCTGGTTTGCAGAGGATTAAAATGTCGTTTTTGTTATTAAGTTTTTTGTTATTTGTTATTCAAGAAAGTTATTCGAGAAAATTAAACAATGCATTTCATTATAGTGTTAAAATAACTAAAATAAAATAAAATATGTAAAAATTATATATTACTAAAAATGAAAGAGACAGATACAGAGTGATCCAGAAGCACCGTTTTAAAAATTAATTAATCCAACCAACCGTTTTAAAAATTAATCAAACCTATAGGTACTAGTCAGTATCAATGAGAAGAAGATTGCTCGATCTGTACGTTCCAACAAATGTACGATTTTAATGTCGATTAAGTTCCAATTGGCTGGCATTACAGTCATCTACATCATAACTAAAATGCTGAATACCTAAATTATAAACTATAAGATATTATTCTATTAGAGTATTGATTTACATATAATTCTGCAAATTACAAATGTTTTACATATATTTTCTCTAAATATCTTAATTTATAAATTGCCTTTATGAATTTCAATTGATTATATCAATGATAAAACTGTAGGATTGTGGTGCATGGATATATTATAACATACGTTCTCTATTTAATAATCTTATATTTAGTCACATCTGTCAAAAGAGTATGTAATTTTTTGCTAATTTCATTATCTCTTTAATAGATATCAAGAAAAATTTAACATAATTATAATTGTTACTATTACATATTTTTGGCCAGTTGCGCCATTGATTTCTCATCGACGTCGTCACTTTAACATTACAAAATTACCATTCTACACATGATTGAAAACTTTCTCAGAACGGTAATCGTTGTACGTTCGAACAACTTTTGCTATGCAAAAAAGGCTTGATACAAGTCACAACAGTATTGTTATAATATTATATGTAATGTTCATATGTTATACAGAAATGAGTTATATCATAACGTATCATGAACGCCACTCGGTGATTTGAGGTGAATCTAATTTTTATGTAAATAATCGACACTATGTTTCAATTACGTTATCATTGTATCGAAAGATGAATGTTGAACGCAACGTTGTGACTTTTAGTTCCTACTTTTACTATTTTATTTTTCATTCTTGTTATGATGATTGAGTTGATAGTTATTGTTAATTATTTCGAATAGTTACTTCCCTACTATGATACTTATGTAACTTTTTTGATTGCGAAATTTACTATTCGGACACATTGTATTACAGAATTTACTTTTTAATAGAATTTTTTTTTAGTAAATCATTGTTACTTTCGTTAAACAAATTTAGTACTTTCTGTTTCTATCTTCGCGTTCTTTCAACGAAACGTCATTTTCGAAAAAATCGTTCAATTAATTCTCGTTTCATATAAATGGCGCACGAATGTTAAATTCCTTTGATCAAAAGATAAATGAAAAAAAAAAAACAATTGGAAGGACTCATTTTCTAGAATAGCGAATAAAATGATGATGATGGTGAGTCTTTATTTGAGAATAAGCGTATCTTTATTGGTACCTTTCATTTCCTAATCGCGATTGTTTTCAGTGAAAATCACATAAAATTTGTATCGATTTAAGTCCCCGTGATATTTGTAACACTGATCTAGAATCTAGTCCATACGAATATAGGATAAAATAATGCGATCTTCAGTAATCGTCGATTAACGTCGCATCTGTGTTTCGCCATCGGTCATCAGATGAGAATGAAATATTAACATTAACTTCTTATTTAACGTATATGATAATACACACAAATGATTACTGCGATATATATTGAATGATTGGCAATCGCGACGAATTATACAGTGTTTTCATTAACTCTTAGCTGCAGTTACGATCGAAGATGGCATAATTAAACAATCCCACGCTAATCGTTTTTTGCCAATTTTATTGTCACAGTAATCAATTAAATAAAAATATTTAGTATCTATGTACAGTAAGAATGAGATGCTCAACAATGTTATTATATTAATAATCTTGGGCTATTGTAAACTTAGACAAGTTTAATTTTTATTAGAAATGAGCAATTCAAAAAAAATTATTTTACTTGAATTAATTATTAAACGCGCTTATTAAACAGTGAAAATTATTAATTGTAGTTTTTAATAAATTTATAATTCACGTTTAACAATTAATTGTATACCTAATCGAAACGTTTAATTGTTTAATTATTTGTTACGTGTTGTTATTTTAAAGATTCTTTTTTGTCACTTTAATATTAAATGTGTAACAATCATAAAATAATTATTGCTCATCTCTGATATTGATATTCTATCGCCAGTAAAAAACATTCACACATTAGCTATTTCAGTTAAATAATGGACAATATTGCAATATTAAATCGACTTTATGATGATATAATATAATAAAGATCTTTCTATACTTGTCGGCTATGCAAATATCGGTTATCATTAATTTTATTAATAATTGTTCCTTAAATTATCATTGTAGACGACAAATCATTTGGTACGATAGAATTTGTCAAGCTCTTTGTTCTAATTTATTTGCTTCTAAATCTGTTTCTCGATTTATTGTTTCCTAAATTATTATATATTTTATATATTGTATATTTTATATTAAGCAATAATTTTAAGCACCCGATCTTATACGTTCACAACTATTTTTAAATTTTTCATATATTACGCTCGTTCATAAAAATGTAACACTTTCGAAAAGAATTAAAGAGAAAGATAATAATTTATTACTGACAATTAGCCTATGTTGGTCAATATAAAAAACTTGTTTAAATTGTTATATTGTACAGGTATCATATATGTACGTTATTCGTTATGGCTTTTCTTCTGTGATAAAAATTAGAAAAACTGTCGAATTTTATTATTCATTATTTGTACATAATTATATACATACATGTATTAATTTGTATTATTTCATAAAAAAAAAGGAAAATAATTATTGAAATAACTAATTGTGCAACAGTAATTATATTTACTTAAAAAAAGTACTGTTCTGGTTTGATGACGTATTTATTAATTTTAAAAGCGTATTAACAATCAAATACAATATATTGATCATAGAATATGTAAGCTGTAGACAAACGATATAAAAAGGAATTATAACACATTTGTTTCATCAGCCTTTTATCTGTTATTTCGTAACATGGCATCGGCCAATAATAATATGTATTATCAATTTTTTAATATCAATTTGATTTTTGTATTTTGTTGGATCTTTACTTTTGTTCAAAAAGAAAAACAATACAAAGAAAGAAGCAATCAATAAGCAATAAGGTAAATCTACATTATGTCTGTGTATACTGTGTATATATATATATATATATGTGTATATATAACCTAGAAGATCATTTAATTTAATTTTAGAGATAATTTATTTGCAAATTCATGTTTCAACATTATTTTATAAAAACATACCACGCCACGTTGCGAGAAAATGTGCACACAAATTTTATAGGTACAGATAATAACAATTTCTCTTTTGCATCATATAATGTATGCATCACAGAAAAGTTCCAAGAAGCATGTTAAGTGTATCATAAATCAAAAATTTGTAAATTAAAAATCGTGTGCGTAATTAAAAGTATGAATAATATATATTCGATATTCGAATTTTTACTTATTGTTAGCGCACTTGTAATGTGTATGTGTGTGCGTGTGTGTGCGTGCGCGCGCGTGCGCTCGCGCGCGCATGCTCACACGTGCATATGCCCACATTTTATTCTTTTGTTTCTGTAATATTATAATAGTATCTATTTAGCACAAGCTTGAGTAACAGCTATTTATTAATATAAATTACATCTATATGTGTATACATATTACATATATAGTATATGTATATACAGAGTTGGGAAAGTTACTTTGTAAAAATAACTAATTACAGTTAGAGTTTTTTTCTTTCAAAAGTAACTTACAGTTCCAAGTTACCGAGACTAAAAATTAACTCGTTACAGTTACTAAAAAAGTTACTTTTCAGTTACTTTTCCGTTATCATGACACATCTTCCACGGTCCCTCTCTTTCATTATTGTCGACCATATTTGAACATTACTTACGTACGGATCGCGCAGTCCATTCTCTATATTTTTACTGAGCACGACAGTCGCGTTCAGTAGACTCATCTGGACTCAACTATTGCGGAGCGGATCCGTGAGCGCTCATGGGTCTGCTCCGCAAAAATTGAAGCTGCTTTCACATACAGTTAACTTGTGTAAATGTAACTTGCGTCAGTCAATCAAATTGTCTCAACTAGAATAACGCGTAATAGCTGATACGATTGGTTGATGCAAGTTACGAGTTAGATATCCTAATGATGGAATCCCATGAGGCATATTTGCTTCGTATCGCATAATCGCGTAACCAATCAGAAGCAATCCGCTTCTGTGGTTTCGTGTCTTACTAAACACCTAGACACTTAATTCCTCGATAACAAACACCGAGATATCTATTTCCTCGATGATAAACCTAGATATCTACTTCCTCGACGGCGAATACCTAGACATTTAGTTTCTCGATGGCGAACACCTAGACACTCATTTTCCCGACGGCGAACACCTAGATACCTACTTCCTCGACAACGAACATGTAAACAACATCTGGACACTTAATTCCTCGACGGTGAACACCTAGTAAACTTTACAGAAAAACAGCGAGTGACAAAAATTGTTTATTTTCTTCTTATATAGTTCTGAGAATTTTTTCAGAATTTTTTAGTACCGCATTTTCTTATGTCGGTAAAAATTGTTGCCAATAAGAAAATACAGTACTAAAAAGTTAAAGAGTTCTGAAAAAATTATTGAAAACCAATATTCGATAATTTTTAGTAATTGATGTCTTATTAATTATTGCGAAAATTGTAAAATGGTACAGGACTTTTCGACTCAATTTAGTCTGTTCTACCTCTATGCGAGAGTTTTATCGTTACTTATCGAACACTTTATATACCATACCCACGGTTTGATTCGTTTGCATTTTTCACTTGAAGCAAACGCCAATTGGTCAGATAGGCAGAATTAAAACAATATTTATAAAATTTATAAAACTTCCATTTTTCGCTAATAAAATTAAAAGTTATTAAACATATATATTTTACAATTTAATTTTTGCATGGACCTGATGAAGATAATTAAGTATACTGTTGGTTAATTTCTATTATTTTATTATATCATTTTGCAATACCATATATTGACACATTGTAGCAAATTTTAATAAGTAATTCAGAACCCTGTTCTACATATCATTACATAATAGTAACAATACAAATTTAATTTAATAATAGTTCCAATTATGGTGTTTATTCGAAAAAACTAAATAATGTTATTAGTATGAGAATTACAGAAAACTAACTTGTTCCTTCATATTTTTCTTCAGAAATAACTTCCTACATCAACAATCGATAGATTATTTACAAGATTCGCGTTTTTCCAATGGTAATCAGGATACTAGTAACTCTTGCATACCAAACGTCGATATAATCGAATGATATTTAATAATGTATGTGTTAATAATACAAAATTTATTCTAAGGAAAATAAGTATAAAAGTAAGAGTGAAAATAAATTTAGAAGAAACTATTGTAAAATATAATACGTTTTTATTATAGATGGAACATGATATATGCATATGAGAAAGAAATGACTTTTTCTATTATCCAAAGAAAACTTTCTTCTTCTTATACCGTCATGCCATCAAGATTATCCAAGTGTAAATGTATGTTTTTGTTTTTTAAAATATACCACGTTAAAGATTGGTTGTTTCACCTTCGGATAAACTATGTTGTAATTTATCTAATGAACGAAAGAAAGAGCGAAAGCAAGCAAGAGCGAGAAGTAACAAGAGCGACAGTGCAAGTAAGTTGAAATTTTTCGAAAAGTAGAACAACCTAGTCAAAACAATTTTTGACATTATTAAATTTAAAAAATGTCATATCCACTGACTTATACATATCCTCTAACTCAATACTTATACATATCCTCTAACTCAATAATAACATCTATTTTTATAAGAATCACACACACGCAACTTTCCATATATCATGTTTTTACGTTTTTGATGTTTTTAGGCCATTTTGATATATGTAGTATCGTTCAAAATCTCGCTCAATAGGTGATTACAAAATTATTTTTATATGTAATATATTTTTATACCTAATATTTATATCAAAATAATATTTATACATATATATTCAATACAATCAAAACGTTAAGTAGCATAATCTTTATAATATTTTGCATATAGATATTTACAGCACTAAAAGTTTAATCTAAATTAATACATCGATATCAATCCTTACATTTCGAAGTATTTTGTCACTGTCTCTTTCAAGTTCAGCGTATTTTAATATTAATACTCGCGCGCACGCGAAGTGTGTATGTGTGGTTGGCAAAGTGAACAGATGGACGCGTATTTTTGCGTCAGAGTAGTTAAAGAGAATCAAGTGAGTAAGATAGAGAGAGAGTTTGAAAGTAGGCCTTAGCCGCTCAGTCAGTTGTCGACTACGTGTCTGGACGATTGGTTAGCATAATGGTGAGTTTTCGAATATTGTTAACCGAATGACGTTTTTTCTATCACAAAAAGATATGAAGTATTATTTATGTATATATACATTTTTATGTATTGTTTTATGTATTATTTTATATATATTGTTGGTGACATTTGATTTCTTGTACGACACCATGTGCATTATTACATTATGTGCAAAAAGTATTCAAAATAACTTGTACTACAGAATTATTTCAAGCTAAAATTAAAGTAAATATTTTTTCTTGAAATTTAAATTTTGGATACTGTTAATGTTACTACGTTGCAACTTGTCGGCTTATTAAACGTAATAACGTAATTCAACAACATTTAAATACTTTCAAATGCGACGCAAACATGAATATTGTGCAATAAAAGATTTGCACTTCTGTAAATAATTGTCGCATTAATACGATGAAATATCGCCATATAATACCATTCTAAGCTTACATTAGAATTTTATCTTCTTATAAAGAAGTAACCACATTCGAATAGCTGTTATTGTTGTTTGGTAAATATTAAATTATTAAAACGGTAATAGTAATAAAAAATTTGTAATTACTTTATAATTGAATTCTATTTGAAAACGATTTTTACTCTCCAAAAAGCAATACGTCATTTGATTGTTTAATTGTCCAATAATTTTTCAAAAAAAAGATTAAAGCAACGTACTTTAACAATATGCTCGTTATATTGCATATATTAACGTTCATTTCTAGCAATAAGTATATTAAGTTTACAAATATTATAATATTTTATGGCAAAGACTACGAAATGTTCTTTAACACTATATGATATCAGATTGTGAAAGTTGACTCTTTCCGGCTACACTATTACTACATATACACTCTTTAAGTGTATATTTTTCATTTGCATTTTTATACATACTCGTCGTTGTATTTCTCAAGCGCGTCTTATCGAGATTCACAAAAATTTTTCATCTTAAAAGTGTTCACTATTTTGCAGGCCCGTTTTATATTAACAAAATAGTGAAAATTATATATTCTTTCTTGCATACGATTTTGTAATTACGGAAATATAAAATTTAACTGTTGGTTTTTTACATAAATTATAAATGATCTAAAATGGATTTTAGAAAAGAAGAACTCTTAGAAAAGAAGAAGTCTTAAGCTAAATTAAAATAAATGATTCTATTAAAAATTTAAATATTTTTTTAGAAAAACTTATTACATGTATAGGATAAAAGCAGGGATTATGGAATAGCGTTTTTTAAATTAACATTACTCCGATATAAATGCATATGAAGACTTTAAATTTACACAGAACTCTTGAGGAATATGTTAACTACAACATCCAATAAACGAAAGTCACCAAAATTTAAGTCCAACGTCAATATTAACAAAAAAGTAAAAAGTGAGAAAATGGAGGGGAGAGGTCTAAAAAATGGGATGTAATATGAAATACCGATGAAATTTTGATAGTAATAAATAACACAATAAATGAAGTCCAAATTTGTTTATTTATGTAAACTGATCAAGAAAAATAGAAAACTGTTCACATTTTTATTGTACAATAACACAGAAAATATAAGCATCATTGAATGTTATTACGCATGGATAATAAAGAATAAAATTAAATCTTGAATCATTAAATTATGACGTACAATAAATATTAGCATCTAAAATAAACATTATTCACAAGAAGAATCAAAAAGTTATATTCTCAATCCTCGATGTATTCCACATTACTTGCATGTCGTCATATGACAAAGTCTTTCCGTAGCAATAAACAAGTTTGAAATAGCAATTAATCTGCATAATATTGTTCATGCAACATTATTAAAAGCGTCTATGTAATATAAGCATTAAAAAAACTTACCTTCAGTTTGTGAGAACACTTTTTAGAAAAAACTGCCGGATATCCTGCATAAAAATGAATAAATGTTAATTGTAACAAAACGTTTGGTCGGACTGAGTTTATTGCTTGTTATGACATGTTTGGAAGCAGTTGCAACAACTTTCAGCGATTGCCGCCAGATTGCAATGCTTTGTTTAAAAAATAAGCCACTATTCCATATTAGTAGCCTATTCCATAACCCCTGCTTTTACCCTATATCTTGAATTTCAAAACGATTCTAAAATAATATATCAAGAAAAGATTTTTATACTTACATCACACACATGCCAATTTTATTGCTTCATACATCTAAAAGAATAAAATGAAAATAACAGATTAGTATCGGAAAATGACAGTGATGTTACGAAAGAGATTCAAGATTGTGAAAATTAACCAAGTATACTCTTTGACATCAATAATCTAGTAAAGACTTTTTTGCAATATTTGCTCACACATAGATATGTAAAACAACTTTGACATACATCTTGAACTCGTTCTTCTTTTTAACATAATTCAACAACATATATAAATCGCTTATACATTAGTGGAGTTAATATTTTGCACTTATAAATTAATAATGTTTATGAATTGGTTTCTTTTCATATATTATACATATACATATATTCTAATTCAGATCTATAAGTATATTAAATACACCCGCAAATATTAAATATTATATTTATTGAAATGAAATAAAAATTGTTTTTGTGATTATAATATATAATATCTTTTTTCTTTATGAAAGAAAGATAAAATTAACTACAACTTTTTCATTTATCTAATTTACATAGCAGTTATAATAAAATTTGGTCTCTCTGTATCCGTTGCACTTTCTCTCTCTCTCTCTCTCTCTCTCTCTCTCTCTCTCTCTCTCTCTCTCTTTGATATTTTTGTTTAACCTGTATTAACTATTGTTGTAATAATTATTGTTTTCACAGGTTGTGCTGTTTTGTATGCTGTTCGTCATCGGCTTATGTCGTTGCAATGATCTTCCATCAAAAACTGAAGTCGAAAGCTCGATCAACCGAACAATCGACGAAGTCGAAAGATTGGTTCGCCAAAATTCTACTTTGCCATACCTCACCAGACATGAGATTATTGACATCCTTTTTAATATCACATCCAAAGATCTTGAGCCATACCAGAACAAAAGTACAATGGAAGAAGCGAGAAATATCTATCAAAAAGCTTTGATGGTAGTTTTGCCTTACAAAGCAGAAGACGCAAGAGAAAACATCAAGGATCTACATACCAAACCGCCAATAGTTCAAGTAATTGCAGATCCTTCTTCCAATCCGGAAGAGTTTGAAATGTGGAAAAACAAAAACTTACAGGCAAACATACTCATGCAAGAAATGCAACATGATAAAAAAAAACAATTTCTCGAAAATTTTGTAGTAACATATGCTCCAAAGGAAAACTTAGTAAAGGAAGAACACGCTGAACAAACGCAATATAAAAATCACAGAGAAACGTATTCGGAAGCGTCTTCGAAGGTACCTATGAAAGAGACACTAAATGATTCAGCGCCAATCAAATTTAGCTTTAATCTGGAAAATCTGCAAAAGCAATCGACCATTGCTGAAAAACAAATAACTACCACTAGACAACCAGTGTTTCAAGGCTCTTCATTAATTAAAGACAAAGAAGTTTATGTAGTATATAGTACCAATCGAGTACTAGCGACAACAATCCCCCCTCGAACAGTAGAGACGAAAAAGTATATCTCAATGTTTAACTTGGAATCTGAGAGAGAAAAAGAAATGACGTCCCGTCCTTTAAAATATAATGAAAATGTTTTGTCTGTTGACCAATGGCGATATAACGCACCAACAACAGAAAGTACCACAATGTTAACAAAATTTCCAGATACGCTTTTTAAAAAAATTCGCGACAAACAGCAGCTTTTTCCAACTGCTACTACACAAATGCCATTGGAAAATATAGCACCGACTAATAAAATTAAGTACATTCCAGAGAGTTCAAAGGTAACATCCGAAAAAATACAAATCGTGAATGCTGAACAATCACATCCTATCTACGTGACACCAATGCCCTTCTCTTCACCTTTACCTTCTTCTTCTTCCTCCACTTCGCCGGCGCGTGAGAGGGAAAAATTAAATTCCACTTATATATACAATTTAAACTCTGGAGGTTTTCGCAAAATCACAACGACAACAACGACAACAATGCGTCCAGAAGTAATGGAATTGCTTGCCTCGATTGGACTTCGACCGGAAAATGCTACAAATGTAGAAGATGTATTTATAAAGAATAATAAAGATTTTTTGGAGATAAAATCTCGAATTCCTAACAGTAACGGTTTAGTCTATACAACTTCCTCCAGTCTGACAGCTGTTGTGCGCGATTCATCATCGATAAATGCTCAAAACACCTTCGAGAATCCTGTTTCAGAGATCGGGAAAGGCATGAACAATCTAACACCTGATGTACGATTACTTTTTGAAAAGTTTGGTTTACAAACATCCAATCTAGTAGCAACCACATCGTCCCCGCTGAAGACAAGTAACACAAACTCTTATACCAACTTCAAACCTTTGCCAACATCTAAAATAAAAAACGAAGATATGAAAGAATTTTTAGCGAAATTCGGACTTGGTGTTAGCGACAGCAGACAGAAAAAGGCCATGTCGGCATCAACGGAACGCCCATCGTTGATCGAAGTCGTTCCAGATAACATGAGGCAGATTCTGGAGAACATAGGCCTCTTATCTCGCAAGACATCGAGAACAATATCGAAGATGGAAAATATCAAACCAACGAAAACAACCCAGTTTCACGTGTTCAAACCTCACGAGGTCCGTGTAAAGGATGAAGGGGAGAGAATGAAGATTAACGAACTCTTAGACAAAATTAGATTAGTCCAGGAAGGAAAAGCAAGCGCAACAGACGTACGAAAAGTAGCCGATAATCTGCTTGCTACTACAAAAACTCTAAAGGATGGGCCGGATCCGCTGAGTCTAGAAGAGATGATTGAAACTTATAATGTAAACGTAAAAAATGAAGTAAAAAGACAACAGAATCTGAAAGAAACCATTGAAACTACTACCAATGACGATCGAGTTCTTTCAGCGCCTACTGGTATAAAGAGATTTATGATATCCGATTTGGGCAATTTGAAATTCTAGGTTGAATGAATTATTTAGGGTTTAGCGAGGATCTAACACATGTTAATCAACATGAGAAATAAGATTATGCAATTAAATTAATGTATTTTGAGAGACGTCATTACTAAATACTTATTCTTTCAGCATAATTTTCTCTAGCTTGAAAATTTTTTGGTTTTTATATAAAGCTAAATAAAACTGCAGATTAACATTCTATGATAAATTCGAACATCTTTCGGTATTCAAACTATCTAAACGATGTTCATCAAAGAGGATTTTTGCATAAAGTCTTTTTCTTACGCATACATTACTGTCATAGGCGTCCGTTCTGTAAGAATTACTTACGGAGAGGTGCATCCAAAAGAATTCAAATTCGAACGCCAACCGCAACAACTTTTCTATTGGAAATGTGCAAATAAAAATTCAAAATATACATACACGTGCAAACGATGAGCAATCGAATGAGCTATAGAAACTTAATTCTTTTTAAGGATGGTTGGATGATTTACTTCACAACGGTAATGTGACGAACAAATTTGGACATGCAGCAACCAAGACCAACTCAAGTTTTTGTTTTAATATTGATATTTTAAAGTGTATTTCCCAAAGTTTTATTACAAATATTATATTAATTACCTTATATTTGCACTGAGTTTCTTGTTCAATTGCAAAAGTTATATTCTATATTACGCGACTTCTTTTTTTTGTGGATTTTCCTCTTTTCCACTTATTTCATAAGCCAGAGGGTGCAAGCGCACCCCCTTGCACTCCCTTTGCAGTGCCCACAGTTATTGTCAACTAGATGTACAATGCGTGCTTGCCTCCGAAGCAATACATGTTGCATGTGATGTTACATGTGAATATTGGATGTATATATATATATATATATATACTCGCACGCAACCGATTCGTAACTCAATGTCATCATTATCGCTACCAATCACGCAATGGATAGGCGAACAAAACTTTTTATATTGTCTACTTTATTCTTTGGAGTTTCTTCTTTGGATATTTTCTTTTTCCATAATATATAGCTGCGCTGCGATAAATTAAATGGAGAAAACATAGTAGAGAGGGAAGAGGAGGAGAAAAGTGTTCTTTATTGAAATCTTTATCAAAGATGAATTTAGATTTTAGAATATTCATTTTCATTGTTCTCGACTCGAGTGTTACCTGCAATTTCAATTTATTATGTATACGCCTTTATATAATATTTTCCTCATTTCTGATTTTTTCCTCAAGTAATTTTATGATTTTATTATTTTTATATCTTTATTTATGATAAAACTTTTTAATACTCTCAGCGTTGCTGAATTGAACATCAATTCACCAAAGATCTTGTTGGCAGAGTCTGCAGACGTTTCCTCGATAACGATGACGACTATGGCCACAATTCCGATGACTTCAGATTCCACAAAGGATGGTTCAAACTTCCGTGATGCATTAACACCAACTCCAGAGTCATCGACATTTGCAAATACAAATCTTGCGGCATTGGAAGAATCCTTCGGTGGTACTACACCTGCACCGGATCCTGTTCTGCCAACCAAACGAAGAAACGGGCTATATTTTCTCTTGGACTGGAATACCTTCCTTGAGGTCGGCGATGAAGATAGTGAGAAAGTGAATCTGAGATTTGAGCCAAAAGTTGGCGATAGAACGAGATTTTTGCCAGTCAGCGTGCCTTAATTTATAGTAATATATTATTAATTTTGATGAAATATTGTCTTAAAAACGTTAATTTAATTTATATATTCTAACGTTTATAATCTTTAGATATTAAAGATATTATATATACAGGGTGGTCCACTTAAATCAACCATCTGAAATATCTCGCTTATTTTTTATGACATAAAAAAATGTTTCAAGTGAAAGTGGAACTGTTTCGAGGGGGACGTATTTTGGTCATGTTGTTTTCTTTCTAGATGAAGGCGCTAAAAAGATATGAAGGTCATCTTCACTTTCTTAAATAAAATTGTATTATTTTTTTTACACAATATGATTCCTCTAATTATTGCATATAAAAGTATTAAGGTAGTGATAATCGTATAAAAAAATTTTAATATAAAAAAACTTGGCGCCGCTAGCCAATTTGGTTTGGTCTAGCCAAATTTTTGTGCCAAGTTTTTTTATATTAAAATTTTTTATTTCAATTAGATGCTCTTATTTTCATGTATTTTTGTTTAAAAGTAGTTATATAACATTAGTGTTTCAACGAAATGTATTTTCTGTTTATAATTGGCGCAATTTAAAGATTTCACATATTTTTTGAAAAAAATTATTATTATACATTTTCATAGTTTAGAAAATAGATTTGGTATAGGTTTGGAATAGGAAGTCATTTTTTTCTTCAAGGAGCGCACATACAAGCGCGTATAATAATTTATGTAACGATTTTTTTTGAGAGAAGCACGCACACTTGGCACCATTTTTTTTTACCTTTTTTTAAAAAGGTCGTGGTAATTTGAGGTATGCTATTCGAAGACTTCATATACGTGACATATGTGAAATTATTTTTACAGAAAAAAAATTAGTAAATTATAAAATGCGATTGATTAGATTATATAATGTGCATAAACTGTTTATAGAGTGACTTTATTAAAAGTGTAGTAAATAAAAATATAATAAGTACGACAAATATGTAAAATTATTTAAATAAAAATAACTTAATTATTAAATTAAATTATTTAAATTAAGTTATTAAATAAAATTATTTAAATGAAAATAAATGCAATAAAATAGAAAATTTTGATAAATATTTATGAAAAATTATCTTTTTATATTAATATTGTAAAGAAAATATATTAATATGTTCGACAAGAATTTATTAAGGAAAACAAGTCTTGTTTAATTTATTAAAGACAGTTATACATTAATATAATGTTTTTAACCCTCAACTACATGTCTCGTTTTAGAGTATTAATTTACATGTCTGGGTCCAAGTCACCCACAGCCGGTTTTGACTGGCTGTGTAATTATCACAAATCTCAATGGAAAATATATTTTTTTTCTAATGAAATACAATGTATAGAATCGAAATATCAAAACATAAAAGGTTTTAATAATGATTGAAAAAGTTATGCCAAAGAATAGTAAAGAACAATTTGTAAAAAGAGTGCAATAATCAGCTTTTTTCAAAAAATCGTATCTTTATGATAAAAAAGATATAAATAAAAATAAGTAGTGTTTTGAAAAGGGAAAAATATGAATTTAAAAAAAAAAATACATTATATTGATTTATTCCAAAAAGTATAATTATTTGCACGAGTGAAATGGGGGCATTTTTATACATGCTTGGAATAATGATATTGGAAGTATGTCGGGTATTTTCTTCTTTAATGCAATGAAAATATTTTATATTAAATATATAATGATTTCGACATTATTTGCTCACGATTTTATAACTCCGAGAAAATATAGCGATCGTTTCGCCAATTCACCTGTCTCGCAAAAATGCTTTTTTTGACAATGAATATATGTTTTAATTATTAGAAAACAACACATACTTGAATATATATAGCATTAATAAGCAGGCACTTATTAAAAACGAATTTTCACTTTCAACAAAAATCTCTCAAATTTACATTTGACTTGTCCAAGTCACCCAAGCCAAATTTTAATTGTATTATAATAAAGCATCAAGACAACAACGAAACAATTGCATAACGGCGATCGACAGAGAAAGATTCCAAGTTTTTTACCCCCTCATTTTAACTCTGCAATATTAACCGTACAAAAATTGCAGCCGACTAAAATTTTCACCCAGGTCCAAATGATCTACTCATGTATTATAGTTGAGGATTAATAGTACCGATTTTGTTAATAGCATAAATTATTTTTCTAAATTATATATTTCTCTACAATATACTGTGTATATATTTGTTGTTTTCAATTTAATGTACGAAAAGTATTAATAGATGAAGTATTAGATGTAAATGTAAAATATTATGTCTTAATAAATATTAACATATACATATTAATATAAATTATTACATCTTGTAATTAATATTGTAATATAATAATAAAGTTTTGATTATTATTACGAAATCTAATCAATATCATATGATCCCATTGAAAAATAAGATTGAATTTGAATATAAAGAAAATATACATATTTATCTAATATATTTAACTACTTTTGTTTATATCGTATTTTTATTTTAAAATCTGATGATTTTTTGCCTTTACTTTCCACAATACATATTTTAATTTTTAAATGATATATGTATATATCTATTATATATATATGTTGGTGTTAATAGATATTTTGTATAGATGTGTATTCTGATCTTTTTAAATTGTTTTTCAGTAAAATTACACAGCAAAATTATAAATAAAATATCCTAAATTTTTACATAAATTGTACATAAATCATTTAAACTTTTCTTAGTATCCTGTAATTATGACAAACGTTGTATTTTAGATCATTATATTATTATTAATTATTAATTTTAAACAATAAAGTTTTAAAAATAAGTTTTTAAGTGCTTATGTATATGTGGTTAAAATTATAATATTGTAATAATATTGTAATATTGATGATATGTATTAATAAATAATTTCGGTAATAAATTTATTAACAATATTACAGAAAGAACTACAGATTAACATTAATATTAATTTAGAAATAAAAATTCAGTCCTTATCTATTTAATTTAAAGAAATTCAAATTAGAAGTCTGCAAGTGTAGCCTCTATGAAAATCAAAATATTGTGAGTCGTGTACATTGTGCGAATATTTACGAGACATCGTGAGCATTTCTCAGTTAAATCTCAGTCTGTGTCCAGAATGTCAACGAGTAAAGGTCTTGTCGTATGGTCTTTCCTTATTTTATGGATTTTCGTAAATAACGCAAAATGCCAGGATTTAAAAGAAATGTCTAAAACATTAGACGAAATGCTCATCAATACTAGATCATTTCGAAGGCCTCGAGATCATGAAGATACTTCGGTAATTTGGCAAGAATATGAATTCGGTACAGGGGCTGGAAATCGAGAAGGTAACTATTATCAAACTCTAAATACTTCATTTCTATTTATCTATATTAACACTTAATTTATTATTAATAAGTACAAATTTTTGCACAATTTTTGGAAATTTTCTAAAATAAAAGAGAAACATTTGATTTGAACATGATTAGATCGGGATAATTAAAATCTAATAAATACGGTTAGGTTATCTTATTACTAATAAAACATTTAATAAAAAATATATAATGGTTTTTATATTTCGTTATGTGTATATGATTTATAACTTTTTGACCATTTATACACGTAGTATGAAAGAGTATTTCTATTTTCAGAAATTGTTGTGACAAATATTTCATTGCATACACTTGCTGATATAACTCAAAACATTAACATATCAATAAACAATTGGCAGTTTTTGCAAACAGAAACTAGTTACTTTATTTGTGCCGAAAAATCGATGTTGATCTTTTACAAAATTAGTTGGGACGGTTTGTCAATCGAACGTACTATAAGTATATCGACTGAAGGACACATATTACAATTTAAAGTTCTTCATTTTAATATTGAAACTACGTTTAATGAAAGTCATGCAAACAATTTAATGGCAATTGTACTAGTTGAAACCCAGCATGGTTGTTTTCTGTATTGGTATAATATTTTCGGAAATACATATATTTTGTATTCGACATGGCCCGTACGAAAACAAATTCAAGATATGGAATTTGTACAAGAAAAGAATCAACATGAATTATTGCTACTCAACAATGATGATACATATCTCGAAAATCAATCACTGATTGATGTTTATGGTTTTGATGTTGATTATAATAATCATCGTATCGATATCTGGTAATTCCATTATTCAATTATACATACTAATTGTTTACTGTGTCGTAATATCATATTATATGATACATTTTATTTAATGAACTAAATTATTAATACATTAAAGTATTACACTAACATAATGCCCTGGTTCATTCTTCTATATTCGTCACATTTTAAATACATTTTATAATTTGCAATCAATTTTTACAAAATTCATCTGAAAGATTTTTAATTATAGACTCTTTTATAAAGGAGACATTAAGATCCAAAGAAAATTTACAATCAAAACAAACTAACTAATTACAAATAATTTATTGAATATATAATAATATATATGTTAGGTATTGAGGCTTTTATTATGATTTTTATGCTTGCAATCTTGATATTCTGAAGTTTCCAAAAAACCTTAGAAAAAAATATTTTTCTTTAAAAAATTTAAAATTTGTTTTAATTACAATTTTACATCTACTAATATTTTAGACATAGATAAATTATCAAATTAAATTTTACGGCAATATACAAAAAAATAACATAAATACATAAATATAATATTTGTGTATAAAATGTATGTATATCGCACAGGTTTTGTCAGCAATTATTTATTCCAAAAGTATTCGATATTCAAGTTTGTCCAATATATGGACGCACTGTACTGGCTTTTCAAGGAATCGAAAATGTTATTTTATACGAATCGAAACACGAGGATAAATTGTGTCAGTATAAAAAATTGGAAGTTATCAAATCCAATAAACTCGCAAATTTTGTCTGCTTTGAGAGTGGTTATATTGAATACTTAGCAATTAGTGGAGGAAAACCGCGTTTGTTTCACTTTTTTGAGAACGAATTTCAAGATAATTCTGAGACGAATCTGCCTTTTGATGGTAAAATGATAAGGTTATCTTATTAAGGCAGGAATTATCATTTTATTAAGATGACAATTTCTGCCATGAACATAA